CTGGTGAAGGAGACATGTAAACATGGTGCTGGATGGTGGTCCCCTAACACCTGGAAAGGTTCTGGTCTTTGGGCCACAAAATGAAATAGCAGGACCTATTTTTTAGGTTAGCAGGTCTAGATACTGGCAGATAAACATCACTGCAAACATCAAGGGGGCATGACCATTCAACCTAGATGCTGCAGTCTGTGCAGAGGGTTTTATTCACGGGATAGGAATGTGGTTGGGAACACCTGCTCTTGTCTCCCTTGTGCTTTCATCACACACCATCTCTGGTTGGCAAAGAAGATAGGCTATAGTGTCAAGCAGCATCAATTTATTTGTAAGCACTCTTGGTAAGCAATTGCAATCTGCTTCCACCTTAAACTTGATCAAGTCCTCTGCCTAAAATCATTGCTTTGGAGCATATTGAATAGACTGATAGCCACCAGCCTGCCCTAGGATTTGCATGTTGAGAGGTGGCTATTTCACCCTGAAGCCAACAAAATAGAATCCTAAAAAGAAGCATGCTGGGCCAGCTGTAAATGTCCGTGGAGCCCAAATGTGTGTCTTAACAATGCTCTCACCACTCTGATCCACTCACAACTGGGTTAGTGATTGAAGGCCGGCTTTTAATAGAACTTTCACTGACAGACACCTCATGTGAAGGACGGTCTAGCAGAGCAGGGCCAGCCATCAACATTGCCATTTGGGGCATTTGTTAGAAGACGCCAGCACTTCGTATGTGGCATTTACATGAAACCCTCAAAGAGCACTCTTTGGCTAAAGTAAATTTAATTTTAATAATATACCAAACAGCCGAGACTGGTTTGGCTCAATGGATAGAGCGTCGGCTTGGGGATTGAAGGGTCCCGGGTTCGATTCCGGTCAAGGGCATGTACCTTGGTTGCGGGCATGTCCCCAGTGGGGGGTGTGCAAGAGGCAGCTGATCGATGATTCTCTCTCATCGATATTTCTAACTCTCTATCTCTCTCCCTTCCTCTCTGTACAAAATCAATAAAATATATTTTAAAAAATAATATACCAAACAAAGGCCCTAGACAGTGACCTGCAATATTGCATGTTAGAACTTAAGGAATACCAGAAATTAAATGGAAATGCTGCCTTTCAGCCCTAAGCTCACACTTCCAACTTGAAGTTGTCTATAGAGTGGTTGAGACATGATGACAGATTAGGGACATGGTACACAGATTCATCTAGAGGCTCTTCCTTGAGAAACCATGTTCTTCAAACCCCTAGGAATTGTCTGAGCTGTACTCTTTTCTGCAGAAGAAAGAAAAGGCTGAAGGGAGAAGAAAGGTGCTACAAACACTATCATGTGCCTTAGCCAGTTTTGCTCAGGGGTTAGAGCCAGAGGACTGTAGGGCCGTGGGTTTGATTCCAGTCAAGGGAATGTACCTTGGTTGCAGGCTCGATCCCCAGCCCTGGTCAGGGCGAGTGCAGGAAGCAACCAATCAATGTGTCTCTCTCATATTTTTCTCTGGCCATGATATTCCTGTTCACTAGAGTAGTACAGGATCAAGTTTTAAATAGGTCACTTTCTATCTGGTTCAAATTTTATGTTGGCCAAATGCTGGGAAAACACTGGGTAGCCCAGGGGACCCTGTGAAACGATCTTACTGTTCGGGTCCTTTGGAGTTTCAGTGGGTGTGTGCTGAAGTGGCTGGAGGAAGAGGGGGGGGGTGGGGGCAATCCCAGCTAACATTTTAACCAAACAGAAGACTGTTGGAGGCCTTCTCAGAGGGTACTCACAGACTTCTCCGGAGAGGGTGATTTGGGAATTAGGTACCTTGTTTGCAGGCTTGAATGTCTTGAATGTCTCTTTACCTAGGTATATTGTATTCACTGCTTTATATCTCTGTTAATGGGCCATGAGGGAACACAGGTGAGAAGACGGATTAAAATAAAAAGGTATATTATTTTAAAATAAAAGACTAAAATAGAGTCTAGCATAGAATAAATGCATTCAAATTTCCTGCTGCCCCACCGCTATAAATTTTATATCTTTTAAATATTTTGTAATGTTTTAATTACAGCAGACATTCAACGTTCTATTAGTTTTGGGTGTACAGCATACTACGCCTAAACAGTTAGACATTTATATGGCTTACAAAGCGATCCCCAATAAGTCTAGTACCCATCTAGCACCCAACATATTTATTACAATATTATCGACTATATTCCCTCTGCTGTACTTTACATCCCCGTGACTACTTTGTGACTTCCAGGTTGTACTTCTTAATCTCTTCACCCTTTTCACCCAGCCTCAACCCTCCTCCCATCTGGAAACCATCCGTTTGTTCCATGTAACTATGAGAATGTTTCTGTTTTATTTATTCTTTTATTTTGTTTTATTCTGTTCTCTTTTTGAAAGTATTTATATTGTCTTTAGCAGGCGGTTTATTTTTCTCCTCAATGTAAGTGTAGGTAGGAAGGAATAGGACTAGAAAGAAGATGGATGAGGGGGGAGGAGGAGCAGACAGACACTTAGCGGCAGGTGGACACTTTTTTAGGCCTGACGACTCTCAGAAACCATTTACCAGGCAGCTCTAAATCACAGTCAAGAGATAGGTGCTGCTTCAGTAACTCAGGTATCACGGTTGAGAGAGGCAAATATGTTTTGTATAACTGGGTGTGTGCTGTTTCTCAGGGTTTCTTTGTTCTGAGGATCATCCAGAGGTGGGTTCCATGGTCTTCGAACACTACAAAATCATAGAATACTTTCTAGGAAGAGAATCCATGGCTCTCATCAAATTCTCAAAAGTATCCATAATACAAATTGTTTGAGAACTTGATGCTGGATTTCAGGAAGGGACAAGGGTGGGAAGGAAGATGTTCTTCATAGGAGAACATTAGAGTAAAATATATTCCTTCACATTATATAATGGGTGATAACCGATAGCTTAAAAATAATTTTGGATTTTAATATTGAATCTATTTGATGATGTTTAACTTAACTTTTCCCTAAATTTCTAGTCAAATTATTTTAGTTTAACTACCCCATCCCTATTCTTACTGTTTTAATGCATCAGCTAGTTCTAATCAATAGCATTTTCAAAGGTAAAATATTTCTAAATTTCTGTGCCATTTAATTGTTTACAGCAACAGTTTCTGTGTAGCTTCTCACCTTTGTGAGAAGTATCATGAATAATATTTCATACTTGGTAGCCTTTCAGGTTTTACTTAGTATTAGCTAGATCTAAACCCAACTAAACTGACTTACAGATTCAAGATGACAGATAAGATATTCATGTCCCATTTTCCTTTCAAAAATCACCCCCAAATAACAGGGAGAAGAAACAAACATAAATTCCACCTGTCATGGAACCTTAATAAATGAAGGGAGAAAATAGAGGGAGGGTGGTTCATAGCTTAGCAGAGAAGAGGAAAGTCCAACCCAGGTGCCTTCAAGGTGAGTGGGTAGAGGAAGGGGTACACATGAGAAACAACAGCCCCCAGGAGCTACCAGAGCTCAGGAACTGAAGGTATCAGATACCACAGAAATGGGATGTGAGGGTGATGAAAGTCCCCATCTCTTCTCCATGTAGTCAGAGGACTCCTCTTCCCTCACCTATTCAGGAAACCAGAGCATTTGCTGGAGAAACTGAACCCTAGATGTGGGGACACCAGCAACAGAAAAGTTGGGGTGAGATGCACCCTGAAAATAAGAAAATTAAGTGAAAGTCTATATCCTCAAAGGTGAAAAGCTACCTTCTCTTTTCTCAGAATGCCAAACCTGTGTTTGTGCCATTTCCAAACAAGAGATTGAAAAGTCCAGAGGAAATGAACTTAGAGATGGACACATGGGGATCTCAGCCAAAAGCCAGCTGCCCATCTGCTTGCCCCCTGATAGGGGCCCAGCAATCTGCAGACCCCTCCTCTCACACTGGTGTGTGGTGAGCTCTGCATGCTTTACTCATGTGTGTGAACCACCAGGCACTTGAGGAAACCACTAAACACAGAGAAAAAGAGCTCAGTGGAAACAGGCAATCAGGGAGCAGAGAGAATTTCAGAGAAATAATTAATAACCTCAAAAAAATAAAAGATGATAATGCATCCAGGAGAGAAGAATAGAATGCTATTAGAATAGGAACAGAGACCAAAAGAATGCTTCTAGATGAAAAATATTATTACTCATAGAAAGTAAGAGAGAAAAAGTCAAGGTGGGCAATGGGAAAAATAAAAAAGACAAAACAAGGAAATCAATACAAGAAGTCCAGTGTCCAACCAATTGGAGTTCCAGTCAAACAGGACAGAAAACAATAGTGAAGAGAAAATTATTAAGAAACTTATAAATAAGAATCTTGTACTGAGGAAATCACACCACACCTATGTTCTCCACAAGCAAGCTGCAGAGGATAATAAAGAATTCCAACGATACTCCATCTGATCCTCAATCTGGTTGCCTAATCATGACATGCACTGCCTTATTATCTGTATGAATATAATCTGTCTGCCAAGCTAATATGAATGAAGGCACTTACAGAGTAACATCTAGAATATCATCATGTAACCATTTCAAAACTTCTAAGTTGCTTCTTTTAATATTAAGGGGTGGGAGCGTTTTCTTTTGCAGGTTTCCATTTGATTGGCATCTGGTGGATATAACATTCAGTTCTAAATTCACAGCCCCCCTCTCCCCTGCCGCGAGATGCTCATCATTGAAATGTAGAATCACAAAACACAGTTTGCTCCGGGCCTTTGTCAAACCGTCGCTGTATCTGGATAGTGCAGCCTCTTCTCCAAAAGGGGCACACAACGGTCTGAACTTTGTTCTTGCAGGCCAGCATGGGGCAGCTTGACAGGGAGCTAATCCATCACTGTGGGATCAGGGCTGTGCAAGTGGCCACCCAACTCACTGCCGTCTGAGGGGGGTGGCAGTTAATCATTTCCTTAACTGATGTGAGTATGAAAACAGAGCTGATTATTGCTGGGCAGACGAACCTTATCCATCCTTCCTGCCCTGGGCAGTGACTGTTGCCATTTTCTCTTCTTCCCAGACGGCAGGGTTTCAAGAGATTCTGACCGAGGTGGAAATTCTCGCGGTGATTGTGGGATGCCTGTGTCATGACCTCGACCACAGGGGAACCAACAATGCCTTCCAAGCTAAGTAAGTGTTCTAATTGTTGTTATTTTAATGCATGTGCCTTTCTGTGCAGAGCCAAAGGTGACCGGCGCTAAAGAGTAAGGCATTAATTTCTGGTATCTGAGGCCGAGGCCACGCAGGCTTGGGCTGGTATGCCAAGGGGCCCATCCATCTTTATAATTCCCTATTCTTCTTTTAATTGCAAATTTGCCCTTCATGTCATGCTTGTTGATTTGGTCTGTCTCCCTTGAGCTCAGTCAGATAACAAAGCAGATCTTAAAGGGCCTGTTTTTTCCTCCAGAATATTTGTTTCCATGGCATTTGTAAGCCTTTTGGACTTGCTACACTAAAATCTGATCTTAAGACTATTAAAAGAAAATTGGACTTAAGAATTTTTAAATTTTATGAGGCAAAATAGCTCTTCTTTCCCCAGTAAAACCCCTTCCAGGTGGTTTGGGTTTTTTGTGTGTGTGTTTGTTTGTTTTTTGTTTTTAAGTTGGATAGCATATAAACTGCAGGGAGAAAAGCAATGCTAGAGGAATAAGGCCCCTGCTTCTCCAACAGAAAGGTAGGAAACAAACAGAGAGATTGCATCCATACTGGGCATGTGAAGGCACATAATGTGCACTGGACAGAATAATCTGTCCTTAAGCATCTTGGACTGGTCAAGATAGCTGTGGCTTTGTGGCTCACACAGTGGCCAAGGCCATAGAATATGGGTGCTGGAAATAAGGCCCAAACCCACATCTCCCGAGTCTTATATTGAGGCTCCAGTTTTAATGTTCTTACTGCCTATCTGCAGACAAAATGCTATGTGAGTTCAGAGGCTGGAGAGAAAAGTTTGGGGATGGAGATGTCAAGAAAGTGGTATAATTAACTTTCAGATGACCGATTTCAAAGTTCCCTGGCAGGTGTACCCTCATAATCTGAAACGTCAACAGACCACATCCCTTTCTGTTCCTCAAAATGCTTACCTGTTGATACCTTGGGATCCTGGCCACTGACATTTGCTCCTGATCTAGCAAATGGATTTTGACTGTGTGCCCTTCTCTATTCATCCTGGGTCTTATAGCCCATCACTTCAACCCTGCCTTCTTAATATCCTGTAGTTTCTTGACATTTGGAACTTTCTGTGACATCCACTCTGCAAAAACTCAGCCCCCGTTCAATCTAGCAATTCAATTTCATGTGACTCTGCCTACACTTTTAAAGGCTTTAGTAGAAAATGTCATAGTTGTGGGAGTTTGAGATACACCAAATATACCTCCCAACTGGCATTACTAGATGCTCAGTATTCCCCAGATTCTGTATCCCCATTGCTCTCAGAAGGTCTATATAATAAACACTCTCCTTTTCTAAACCATCTCCGGTAGACCACCTCCCCTGATCCCCTCAGCAGATCACCTTGCCTCCTCCTTCACCAAGAAAATTGAGGCCATCAATCGAGAACTCCCTCAATTTTCTCCCCTGCCATGTACAAACTTATCTGTCTGGCCCCATCCTTTCCTCCTGACCTCCTATCTCAGTGAAAATGCTGTCTGTCCTCTTGTCTGACGCTAATCCTTCCACCTCGGCTTTGGATCCCTTCCTTGCTCGCTCCTCTGAGACCTTGCTCCATTAATCTTCCTCTCTCTCTGCCCTGTATCTCCCTTCTCTTTCCTACTAGCTCTCAGCATCCTATTAATATGAAAATCCCCCCGGCCCCCCTTCTTGAAAAAGTCCACCTCTATTCCTGCTTCTCCCTTTAGCATCTGCTCTATTTCTCTTCCTTTCCAGTCAGTCTTCTTGGAGAGTCCATTATCTTCACTTCCCCAATGCCTGCCCTCCCACAGGGCAATCAGTTTCATCTCACAATGGGAACTGCCCCCAGTAATGCCATCAATGGCCCCTTTTCCCAGAGCTGCTGGACACTCTTATTGTCCTTCTTTCTTGACCCTTCTTGCCATGAGACCCATTTTTTGCTCCCTTCTTCCTAGAATGTTCTCTTCCCTTGCCTCCCAGACAAAGGATTTCAACTACCTTTCTAGCCTTTCTTCTCAGTGTGCTTCAAGGCCTGTTTCCTCCTGTTCCAGCCAGCACTCCTGATGTCCTCTCCTGTTTCTCTCCTGCTCTACATGATCCTTCATGCAGGCCTTCACCCATCTGCTGATCAGCCCTAAACCCAGATCTTAGATCCATAATTCTCTTCTTCTCTCCAGACACTGATTCCAACCACTTGAGGGGCACCTCCTATTGAAATCTCACACTCACCTCAATCTCAGTCTTTCTGATTATACTGGTTTCTTTTCTCTGTCTCAGTGAATAGCACCACCAGAAATCCACAAGCCATCCAGATTCCCTCCTTAGTACCCCTAAAGTCAACATCTCTGTCTTCTTAAGTCACTACTGCTTCTCTATCTCTCCTGAGTTGCTACAACAACCAGCCCAACTATCTCCTCCAGACTTCTTGCCTTGGTACTCCAGAATAATCTTAGTACAATAGTTCTCAAAGCTCAGCCTACTCTCCTGCGTAACATTCACCAGCCTCCTCCTGGTGATAGTGTTCAAATTCCTTAGTGTAACCCTTCAAAGCCCCTTTCAACCTGTCCATTTCTAGCCCAGCACACACTCCTTCCACCCCACCTACCCCCACACATCTATGCTCCAGACCTAAGGGGCAACTTGAAGTGCTCAATAGGGTCCAACTAGTTCACTTCCCCCTGCTCCCCAGTATTCCTAGCTGGGATGCCCATCTTCTCCTTTTCCCTCCAAGCACTACCCAGGGTTCTATTCCTGTTGCAACTTCCCCTGGTCAACTTTCATTATGCCTACATAATGCCCAAGTTGTGCTTTTTTAAAAGTATGCCTTTCACTCTATTTTAATTGCTGATTAACAGGCATGTCTCCCCTACTCCTTGAATTCTCATGATGTAAAGCAAATACCAGGAGCATACTCCTTGAATTCTCATGATGTAAAGCAAATACCAGGAGCATAATAAACATACAGCAAATGTTTGCTGCGTGAATGAATGATGGATGGATGCATGAATGGATAAGATTTTAACTATCTTACTATAGCTTTTCGATAAAGTTTTCTGACTTTTAAATAAGTATAACTTTTTAAAGATTATTATAAACACAGTTTTTATAGTCATAGGTTTGATGTTACATTCACTTCTTCAATCCCTAGAGTCTACTGAAGTGTCAACTGGATATACTTTCATCATATACATACAATTCCTTATGTTTAGATTTTGGTATCTGCATTTCATTATATTTTTAGGATGTCTCTCTCTTTTAGGCAATGACATCATTATATCTTCCTCTTGCATCTTTTCTCTAGACCCCTACCATTCTTCCACTTCTGCATAAAGAAAAGATAAATGTGTTATAACTGTCTCTCTAAAACAAGAGTGAGCACCCTGTAAGTTCTTTAAGAGTCAAGTATACAATATTTGTACCCAGATACCACTGGCCCTCTCCTCTCCTTGAGAGAGCCTGTCTATCACACTCCCCTAATTAAAACCCACTTAATCATAGTTTATCTCTCAGGAAATTGGAGTTGAATTACCATGATATTGCTCAGTTACTGTTGACATCCAAGCTGCAGACTTGGGAACTGAGGCTGCCATTTTGGGAGAGCTACAATGACCCCGTGTCAAGCAGATAAGAGAAATGTGCAGAGAGAAGGAAAGAAACTAGATATTCATAGAGAAGCAGAAATAAGAGATTGCATAACTCTAGAGAAACAGAGAAAGAGCAGACTTGATTTCTGGCTTTACACATCTCCACTCTTATTTCCAGGAGACCCAGCCATACCTGTGATAATAGGCTCCCTCAGAGTTCCAGGTATCATTTAATCAAACTTTTTTTTTTTTAGGGAAGCTGATTCTGATTTATTTCTGTTCTTTGCAACTAACAGTCCCTGAGACAATGAAAAGAACTATTATACAATTTACTTCTTGTTGACTCTCTCAAGTGCTCTCCCACATCCTGGTTAGGGTAGGTATTTCTGTCTCCACGTTATGGGAGGAACTGAGCATCAGGAAAATTAAGTAACTTGGACAAATTCATACTCCCAGAATGCACTAGAGTGGTGTGTAGACCTGGGCTATCTGATTCCAAAAGCCGTTCTTTAACCACCACATCATACTCCCTCAATGACTCAGTGATATTTATTTTGGGCCTTTGGGCTTCTAGCTTCTTGGCTGACTCAACATATATACGTGAGCTCTGGAAAACTTAAATATATTTGACACCCAGAAAATAAGACATGGAGCTATAAAGTCATATAACTGAATTAGACCTTGATAGTCATATTTTTAAACACCTTCATTTATAAAAATGGAAATAGAAATATTCAGATCTTAGGTGCCCTGTGAAAGATAAAACAGTTTTCAAAAATATTAGATAGATATTAAGTTGCTGGTACTAGAACTCAATTTTATTTTTTAACTTATTTTTGCATCCTCGTACCATATTATCAAATCTGCCTCTTCTGAGGTAATCTGATGTGTTTAAGAAATGGGATATCCATCAGCCCTGCCCCTACCATATGAAGTCACTTTTGAACTTGGGACACCGAATGCCACCACCACCCAACCTCAGTTAAAATTTCCCTTGACAATGAATGCTGACAGAGACCTTTTACAACACAGTGAAGGAACTATCTTTTTATTAATTAGAGTAAAATTTATTCACTAAGCGTGTGTGCCATTGTTTAGAAAACCCCTAGCAAGAAATCTACACCCTCATTTCCTTCTTTATTCCCCAATAATTGAGTGCTTTGTACGTGCAAGGCACTGTGCTAGGCCTATTGTGAGAAAATAAAGAAATGTAACAAACAGTCCCTTCCCTTAAAGTATTCACAGTCAAACTTCAATGTTCAAGTGATTTGGAAATATAATTTAAATGCACCAATTATTATGTGAAGCAAAGTATATGCTACCTCCTCTACCCCTCCCCCCCCATATATAAGGCTGTAAAAAAACAGGAGACATTTAGCAAGGGACAAATTACTATATAAAATGCAAAATGCCTCTACAATAAAAAGTTGGTTATAGCAGAGTATAATTTATTCTCTTAGCCTTTCTGATAAATGAACCTTTGCATTTTCATATTTTATTCTTAATTTTTAAGTATTAAAGTACGTGCCATGAATGATCAATAGGTAGAGAGGGCAGCAATACCACAGTGCTTTGAAATTGCTCTGTTAACACCTCTCTCCTGTTTTCTCCAGGGACAGCGTTTCTCACTCATCCCCCTCTCTATTACAGCTGCCCCTGATGATTAAATATCAGTACCGAGCAGTTTTGTAGTATATTCTCCTAGGAGACTTCTGTTCATTTCTAGCATAATCTCTTATACTCATTTCTTGGGAATGAAAACCCATCTTGTCGCTTTCGGCCAGGTCCCAGAAGTGAAATACTGGGGCACATTAATCTGCCATGACAGCCTAATCCCATTCCTCACCACCTCTCAACAATTCTCACTTTCCTAATTACCTTTCATAGTTTTCCTTTTTTAAGTTTTCTATAAGCCGTGGCTGCACACTTCTGTTGAGCCTTTTTTCAAAGCATATGCACATCTGGAGACATTCTGAAGGTACACCTCCTTTCGCATGCTATTTTTGGTGCTTGCGCAAAGTGCTTGAATGCCTGTAGGGACAGAAGGCTTTACTTCGACTTTCCTTTTCATAAGTTTCTCCTGTCCAAAATGGAAAAACTTTGGTGTGTTGGGATGACCTAGTCATAATGAGCATCGTGAATAAGTACTGTAATTTGGAGATTCTTCTCTTCAGCTCCCCTTCTCTCCTCCTCTCTCCACACACTCTGCATAAATATACTATACAGTATATTCACTATTAAGGCATGTGTGCCCCAAAGCTATTTATACAATGGATATACTTACCACCGACAATAAAAATGAGGTGTGGATTTGAAGTCCATTTTTTCCATATGTGATTGATTTGGACTGTTGTTGTTTTTTTTCAATATTTATATGAAAAGTAAAAATGTACCTTTACACAAAGTATATTACATGAAAGACATGGCCTCCTTTAAAAAACTGATCTTATGATCAAGTAAGATTGGTTAATGCTGCATATTATGTTCCTCTCCTGCAGAATCACAACGCTTGTTCTTATATTCTGGGAAGTCTTACAGTGAAGAAACAGTTTATCGTGGGCCTAGCATTTTCCAAACGCATTTGACCATGGGCCCTTTTTTATTCCTGCCCAGTGTGCCATTTAACATTCCAAATAACTCACATTTTGTAGAATATTTTAACAAAGTTTATCCTAAAGATATATTTCAGTTTTTGCCACTAATATCAAGTTTTATGACTTGTGCACTTCACCCTCGCCATCCTACAAGGTTCACAGCGTATGTGTTTGTATTCCGAAGATGACATTTTGCTTCCAGGAAGGTGAGCGTTGTTAGTGTAAGTCAGTCAGAGAAAATGCCCTACACAATTCTAGGGGATTGTGAGCTCCTTGAGGGTAACAGCCATGCCCTGCTTACCTTTGTATTCCACATGCCCTGCAGTCTGGCATCATAGCTATCATCAAAACTTGTTGATAAATGAATGATAAGTGAATGAATAAGTGAATGAATGAATGAATGAATGACAATGTCTTTGTAGCATTTTCATAGTATTAGTCTGGTTTGATTGCAAAATCTAAACATTTTTGTGATTAACTCAGTATTGTATAAGGATGGGAAATGTAAAATTGAATATTATAAAAGAGAACAAAGAGGATGAAGATGCTCAAACCACAGAGGTCAAAGGCTGCACCTGCACAAACACCCTGAGAGTCCTTCTGATGAAATGCAGCAGTTCAGAAATTAGGCGGGTCTGGGGCAGAGGGAGAGGTGCAGCATGGGAGGCACCAGAGTATTTGTTATAAGCTGTTACCTAGTTAAAGGAGGAAACAGCCTACTCATACTGTAAAAAAGAAAATATAGAGTGACTTAGGATCATTTAATTGCTTTAACTTTGTGTGGATTCTGCTAAACCAATGTGATGAAGAGACAATATATTGCATCTTGGCCCTACTTTACATCAAAGGCTGCTATCAGTAAAGGCACATCCAGGGATGGCTGATCATTAGAAATGAATCACAGGAATCTGAGTCTGTGGTTAGTAGGTATACTGATAGAATTCTGAATTAAATTTGGCAATGTTGTTTCATTTATAACAACCAGCTTGACAAAAAATTGAGAATCAAATATTAGAAATGTATAAGTTACAATCAGCTCTCTCATTATCTAAAGAGAAGAAGCTTAAAAACATGGATGCTAATCCAGAACTTGTACTTACTAGCCCTGTGACCTTGGAAAAGTAGCATAACTTCTCTGAGCCTTGGTTTCCTCATCTGCAAAGTGAAAAGACAATACAATAATATTTCACGGTTGTTTTTAGGACCAGATAAAATAATGCATTAAGTTGTTAATCTGTTGTCTAGTACATGATAGGTACTTACTCATGATAGCTATTATTGTTAATAACATTATTATAAAATATGTTAACACACTTATTATGATCATCCTTCCAATTTTAACTATAACTTCAGACATACCACTGCAAGCTTATTAACCAAGCAGCTAATATTTTTAAAGACCTGTTCCATGCCAAGCATATGCTTACAATATGTAAATATGAAGCATTCTAGAATTTCAAAGGCCAATGCAAATAGAGCCAAGACACAATACATTGTACTTTTTGAAAAATGTATTTTCATAAAAATGAAATCTATGTTAAAAATAATATCTAACATTATTAGTCACTGATTATTAAGATTAGCATAACATGTTCATTTATTAAATAACTAGAGGCTCAGTGCATAAAAATTTGTACACCTGGGAGGTAGGTCCCTCAGCCTGGCCTGTGCCATCTCACAGTCTAGGAGCCTAAGCCACAGTCTGGCCTCCCTTTGCAGGAAGCAACAAGCAAGCCTATCAGGGGACTGACCCCCCCGCAATCGCCCCTCTGTGCAGCCAGTTGCCGCTGTCCCCCCAGCCGCCCCCGATCGCCATCCCTTCCCTCTGCCCACTGAGGGGCTGGCACTCACCTTGGCTCACCTAGTGCCACCCTCTCATCGGCCTCCATTGGCCAGTCATTCTGCCATTTGGTCGATTTGCATATTAGGCTTTTGTATAGATTAAGGTAAACTTTAAAGAAGTAACCCAAACCTCCACCTCTTTAAAATCTAGTATCCTCTTGAGAAACCCTATTCATAATAATCCCTACAGTATTAAACTGTTGCTTTTTTCCAACTTGTGGTCAGCATTGAGTCTTTCCAAGGGCTCCTGAACTGATCATGATCTTGGACTGCATCACACTGGAGATGGAGGGCAGCTTATGACCAAAATCTTTCATGTTGCACTTGGATGCACTCTTTGCTCCTTTCACTAGCAGAGACGATGGTGAGCCATCAATCTCCAGTGTTTTCAAGTTAAAGCCAAATTGCCCTTTCAATGTCTGATCTCCTTGCAGTAAACACAAGGACCTGGATGGGTCCTCAACCAGATCCCATGACTTTGCTTTAAACCCTAGGATTCTCTGGAGCTCTCTTGACTCTAAAGATGCTCTAAATCCTACTCCAAAAGAATTGGAAATAAACACATTTGAGCATTTAAATGAACACTTTGCCAAATTGAAACTATTAATTGTTCTACCCAAGCGAAATTTAAAGGTAATTTAAAAAAATCCTTTAAAGTATCAATTAACATTTTATATATTTACAATCTTTGTGTTTTAATAATTAACTAATAATTACTATAGACTATTATCTACTACATACCAGGCACTGTAGGTACTTCCAAGTATTCAATTGTATTCTCATAAATAACAGGTGAGGTAGATAGTATTGCCATATTGTTAGAGACAAAGAAACTGCATCTTCACATGACCAAGTAACTGCCCTGACTCTAAATCCAATAAACTTTCCATATTTCTACACTGAGATACCATAACATAACTATGGGCTGGAAAACTACAATATAAACTTTTCAACTGTACGCATAAAGTAGATTAAATAAAGGCAAAATATTCACAAGGTCTTTTCCCAGGAAAGTCAAATACATTTGGTATAGACAATTGTTCTGACACTCAGAAGCTGTGTAAGACTTAGTTCATGAAATCTCCTCTCATCCCTAGAGCCAGAAGTTATGCCTTTTATTCTCAGAGCACCCAAAGTACTTTGCTTGCACCTAGAATACCTCTGTGGTATTTCTGTTGTGTGCTGTGTGCCTTATTTTCCTTATGACCACTTCTCATCTCACTTACTAGTCTGTAGATATCTTAGTCATAGACTCTGTCTTATTCACGTTTGGTATTATCCACGGCATTTAGGCTAACACAGAGAAGGTTCCTGAAAGGTTTACTTAATAGATTAGTGGATTAACAAGCAGTTACCTGTGAATGTATCTGCTCATAGTCCTTTGTGTCAAAGCAGGAAAACAGTTTGATCCAAAGAGCTGGTGTGGGGAACTGTTGACAGGGCACTGACCCTTCTGTCCTCTTTCAGGAGCGGCTCTGCCCTGGCCCAGCTCTATGGAACCTCCGCCACCTTAGAGCACCACCATTTTAACCACGCGGTGATGATCCTTCAGAGTGAGGTAGGGCCCTAACGTGCTGCTTCTCCCCTTGAAGGAAAATCAATGAAACCATGCCTCCGACCCCTCTGTAATGCCACAGGTAGACGCAGAGAAGTGGAACAGATTTTTAAATCAAACTATTAGACCCTTTTGTGTGTCTTTTTAAAATTCAGTTAGATGCCTGATCAAAGAATGGGTTCAAATTCTTCCTGACTGAGCTGTCTCATTTGGGATTCATTCTTGGTTTGGAAGTGTTTCCCATTCACTTAGCCCAGGAGATGGCCTCCAACTTGCTTACCTTCCTCAGGACTACAGAAGCCCGCACACAGGGACATGATCCAAGTAGTGAGTGGCCCAACCTTCCCATTGTGTGAAACTCACAGCCCCATTAAAAGAAGGTGGAAACAGGCTGATAAAGTTACACTCTATTAGCACAACTGAGATGTCTACATAAAATAAACACTTAAAGTTGCTGGTGGGATCAGTCTGAAAGTGAGAATCGCAGCTACATTTGAGACGCAGGATGGCAGGACTTGGAAGTGCTTTTTTCCTTTTAGCTCCCACAGAGAAAAGGAAAACCACTATTGACTCTGGATGAGGCGGCATGAACTTGGAATCGCCAGGAAAGGCTCTATTCAGTTCTCTGCAGGCGTACAGACTGTTTGTGTGTGTGGCTGGAAAAGCATCATTCAATATGGAGGTTTTCCTCCAGCCTACCTTGGGAAAGCATGTCTTTTGTAACATCATGAAGGCCTCGTTCGACCCCATGAAGAGAGTGGGCAGTGTACTGGGGGCAGGCCAACCACTGGGGAAGACCTCTCTTCAGCTGGGAAGGGAGCAACACAGTTAGGCTTTCGGTAACTGACAGAAACCAGCATCAGGCATGTGTGGCTCAGGAATTTCCCTATGAAAGCCATGTTTTAGCCGAGTGCTGTGGCAAAGGAAGGAAGGGACAGGGGGCACTTGGGTTCAGGCTGTCTTTTCTGCACTAGTGATAGGATGGGTTATACCTCAAATTCCAGGCACTCCCACCTTTGTCATAACAGGGATTATACACAGGTTAGCAAAGTTTTCTTGAAAGATTATTTTCTTGTTTGTTTGTTTGTGGAAACAAATCCCACTAACACAGAATTTGTCTTCAGACAAATAAAATACCTTGGCTACCCTTCACTCAAGGCTTCTCTATGAAGGACCGGAATAATAACATTATTATGCAGTGAGCATGACTAGTGCATGCAGGCCCTGCCCCCGGCTCCCCAGCCCCTCCTGTCCTGACCTCAGAAAGGCAGAACTGCAGATGTCATCATCACCTACTTCCTGAATGCAAAGGACAGAGCAGCCATGTGGGCAGGCAAACGTACCCAGACCTTTCTTCCTCTACTTGCTTCTCTTTCCATCAATACCACCCTACTCCCTAAACCAGGGGTGGGGGACCTTTTTTCTGCCAACGGCCGTTTGGATTTTTATAGCATCATTTGTAGACACCTTAAAAATTAGCCTGCTATATTTTGGTCGACATTTAATCAACTCACCCCTAATGCCTGGATAGGGCCAGATGAAATTATTTTGCAGGCCTTATATGGCCCCCAGACCCAGCATTCTCCACCCCTGTGCCTAAACAAAATGGAAGCAGTATTTCAAGGACACAAATCTATTTCCAGGACCAAACTCTCGAGGCCCTGGAAAAAGCCAATTTGCATATAAACAGTACACTGATTGCAAATTAATGTTGTTCTTGTTGTTTTTATCAATATTAAGGCTAATCTGGCTAGCTTTGTCACTCAGTTAGCTGTAAACAACTGGCTTAGTTACTATTTGTCCTTTAAAAGTGGTAAAATGCACCCTCACAAAATAATCAAGATCTTCAAATTCAGACCAGCTTTCTCCTGGACTTCACATTAGTTTTATTGTGACTTGCTCCTAACAGCTATGCAGGCAGACCTCGGCCATATCATGGGTTCACTCCCAGATCATTGCAATAAAGAGAGTCATAATCGTTTTTGCTGGTGGAGGATCTTGCCTTCAGTTTATTAAAAAAAAAAAAAAAAAAAAAAAAAAAAAAAAAAAGCAGCATCTGTAAAGCACAATGAAGCAAAGCACAATAAAGTGAGGAGTATCTGTCCTTCTTTCACTGGGAGATGGTAGACGTGTGGCTGAATCCCAGGCACTACTTGTCGGTTGCTTCCAACCACCTTTTCTCAGGCCCCAGGATACCAGCCTGTGATTGATCCACAGGGCAAGGCTCGGGCAAAGAAACCGGGCAGAATTATGGCACGGCATTCCTTTAGTTGTTTGTCTTCTTCCTAATGGTTGAATTAAGGGTCTTGAGGAGTTCATTTGAAAATTATTAACAATATTGGACCTGGTCCCATGTGGAACCAATATACTGTAGTCTTTAGCAAGTGGTGGGTTCACCCAAGGAGATAAATTAACTCGGGGAAGCAGATTTTCATCTGGTGCCTGGTGGGCGGTAATTTACTAATTGATATTCTGGTTCCCAGAAATAATTATTTTACTTCTCATTGGGAAACAGTTTATTCTTAGGCAGTCATTTCTCCCCCTCCTGCACCAACTTCTGGTTTTCCATGCCTACATATCAGACTGGTCCAGTTCCCGGGCCCAGTCTGATATGAGTTCATGTTTATGAGTTTGTACTTCATGCTAAGAAAACCTGATAAATGAGAAGGCCTGACTTTCAAAGCAGATTAAGTGGATTGTCTGTCACTTTTCAAAAGGATTTTCCACTTCACTAAAACCATTCTACAGCTGCCAGTGTAGCTAAAACACAGTTTGATAAAGTGTTCTTTTCAAAGGTATGGGAGATACAGGTGTGTTTTCACATTCTCCTAGGTGAAAGTCATCTTTACAGTATCAAGAACTCTGCTGAGAACAGTATCGTATACATTCTAACTACTCAGGAAGTATGTACTGAATTTAATCTGCCACACGCTTCATCAAGACGATCCTCAAGGTTTAATACAGGGTTTCTCAACTTCAGCTGCTCTGGCATGCTGGGCCTGGTTCATCTTGGCTATTCAGGCCAAACTGTGCATTGTGGGTCCTTTAGCAGCATCCCTGGCCTCGCCCCACTCAATGCCAGTGGAACCCGTCACCAGTGTGACAATCAAAAATATCTCTGAACATTGCTCACGTCACCTCCAGTTAAGAACCTCTGGCCTAATGTTTTTTCTCCTTAAAGTCATTTGTTGACATAGCAAATGCCAACTTCAGTTTTAATTAGTGAAATTAGTATTTATTTTAGGGTCATAGAGATTCCCAAATGTTTTGTTAACTTCTGCATTCAGTAATTCCACAGGAAATGGGTAGTCAAATGGAGTTGTTAGCACAAATACACCCAATAGGAAGACAAGGTCAACATTTTTCAGAGTTTGCTCTTTGAGACTAGAGATAGCAAACAGTCCCTTGGTAGTCCTTCTCAAAAATGATCTCAAAAATGACTGCACTTTCTGGCTTTGCTGTTTGCCAGGGACTATGTCTGTGTTTGTGCAAAATTTCATTAAGCTTTTTAAAAAATGATTTGTCATGTTTTTCCCATATATTTAATATATATGGGAAAACATGCAATCAAAAACTCATATTTAATGGGGATTTTTTGGTGACTTTTTACTTTCTCATTACAGGGTCACAACATCTTTGCTAATCTGTCCTCCAAGGATTATAGTGACCTCATGCAGCTTTTGAAGCAGTCGATATTGGCAACAGACATCACGCTGTACTTTGAGTAGGTATCGGCATTTGGTCCATTTGACAAATGAATATCTAAAGTTTCATCCTGTAATTAATTTCCAGGTGCAATTGGGGGGTTGCCTGTTGTTCTAGCAGGGGTAGCAATGTGTAAAGGAGCTAAACCGTTTGCTTTGTTTTTCCCTCATCTAAATAAACTTTATTAAGGTGATGTGTGTAAGATAAGAAAATCAGGACTACCACCACAAGATTTAGAGCTTTCTTTATTTTTTATGATCCTTGTGTGGAACTCTTGACTCTGAAACTAAGAGAAGGTCATTTTTATTGTAAAGACTATGCTTTCTATTTTAGACTATTATTTCTCTTCAGATCTAAAATGGCATTGCTGATGCTAATGAAAAAGGTTTGTTGCTGGTAGGTTGACTAGAATTCCAAGCCTTTAATCCTTGCCTCTCCTCTAATTCTCTTTCTTAGAAAAGCTGCCACACCCCCCCCCCCTTTTTTTTTTCTTTCAGTTTTAGACCTCCACCTGAGCTGGAAATCCCATCCCTCTCATTTCCTCTAAGACCTGTTCTATTTTAACAGGGACCACCTTTTTCAGAAGCCTGGAAATATCTTCTTTTGCTGATATACAGTTTTTTTTCTTAAAGACCAAACAATTTTCCTTCCTTTAAAAATTATTTCACTTACCCCATAGAGACCTTAATTGCTAATGCCTACCTTTAAAAATAAGTAAATGGAGCACATTTGTACCTTTGTTTTCCTAGCACCCATTTTACCTTAAAGAGTAGCGTTCACCTCCACATTCTATCAAAATTAGACTTTCAGAAGTCACCAGAGACTTCCTTGTCCCCAAATTCAATGTCCTTTACTCATTTCTAAGATAGTTTAACTTCTTACAGAAATCTGAAGATTTACTGACTTCTCGCTGCCAATTTCTACTCTCCTTTCTTCCCTCAATATCCAGCTTCCTTTCTCTCCCCTTTTCTTGATCCTTTCTAAGTGTCTTTACTCCTTTACTCCTTTGGGTGAGTTCTTGAACCCATGTTCTTCATTCTCTATTTAGATTCACTCCCCCAGTTGTATCTCTATAATATCTTTATACCATAGAAGACTGAAATTCTTCAGTCTAACCCTAGACATGTTCCTCTAACTTCTGTTGCAAAAGCCTATAGGGGCTTCATTGCTTTCAAAGTAACCTTTAAACTTGGTTTGAGTTTCAAGCCCTTCCATAATCTGCCCCCAGCCTGTTTTTTCATTCTTTTATACCACTTTCCTCCTACATGATTTGTCTTCCTTGACCAGACTGGTCTACGTGTTACCCTTTAAAACACCTTTGCAGTGCCCCTTGTGCCCCAATCATATTACTGTTCCTACATGGAGTCTTAACCCTTTAGTTATCCATCTGGCTAAAATACCCTTTAAAGTTCATCTGTTCCTACCACCTTTTCCAGGAATCTTATGTCACTCCCTTTGTAATCTTACTGCACTTTGGCATTAGATCAGATAGTATTAGATTCAATTATAAGGGACCAAAAAAATAACAATGGCTTTCTTCTCTGCCACAGAGAATAAGACTGGGGATAAACAATCTGTAGTTGGTAGAGTAACTACATTAAGTCACCAGGGACCCAAATACTTCGGTCTTTCTGTGCTGCCACTTTCAACACCTAATTTCTACCTTAATCCAAGAGAGCTACTCAATGTCCACCCACCTCCCAGCGAGCAGAAAAAAGGAAAGAGTGAAGAAAAAAAAGGCCAAAAGGTGACGATGCAAGTTATCTCTTAAAAGAGTTTTCTGGAAACTCCCAGAACACTTCCACTTACATTTCATTGGTCAGAATTTAGTCATTTGGCCATACCTAGGTTGAAGGAAGGTTGGAAAGGAAGCCTTAATTTTGGTACAGTCCTGTGTTGTACAACAACATTTTGGTCAACAACAGATGGCATATACAACTGATATACCATATAGTCTAGGTATGTAGTGGGCTATGTCATCTAGGTTTGTGGAAGTACACTCTGTGATGTTCACACGATGATGAAATTGCCTAGTGACACATTTCTCAGAGGGATCGCTGTTGTTTAGTATCTTGTGACGGTAATCACTGCTCCACTAAAAACTAGGACTTCTATAATGAAGAAAGAAAGGGAGGAGAGGTACTGGAGTAGACAACTGACAGTGTATGCCACACATTGTTATTGTTGGCTCCTGCTGAATGTATTATTACGTGTAAATAGTGGAAGGAGTAAAGGCTTTAGAATTACTGGTCTGGATTTAAATTTCATTCTGGCATTCTAATTAAACCAGGTGCATTGAGCCCAAGTGTCTGTTGCTTCTCCCTCCTGAAATCTTACTGGATTGGCAAATGAATTTAAAAGGAAAAAGGGGGACAAATCTGCAAGGGAAAAAGACAGGGCATACAATAACTGATAGATGTCAACACATTTGTAGAAACAGAAGGCCAGCTGATGAATGGTAACTGGTTGAGCAGAGTAGAAGTGAAAAGTAGGACCCACAAAGGAAGACAGCTCTGAGAAGCAAGCCCATTGGCCCTGCAGAACCTCACTGGGGGCTTGGAGACAAGGGCACCATGAAAAGTGGATTTGACACTTAGAGCTTAAGACAAGGTGATTACTAGAAGATCAGTTTACAGAATACCCAGCGCCCATGAAGTCTTCCACCAGCATAGTGATAACTTCCTTTCCCGACACTTGCAGAAGGCCAAAGGATTATTCTCTGGAGAAATGTAAGAAAGAGCTCTGGAGTGGGGAAATGAGATGCAAAGCTCAGAAGAAGGGATGACGCAGAATGGAAGGAGTCTCTGCATTCAAACCCACACCCATAGTCCAGTCACCAGAAGCTAGAAGTCCATAAGCTACACACTCAGGGTTGTCAGATTTAGCAAATGGAAATTCAAGAAGTCCAGATAAATTTGTGTTTTGGATAAACAAATGAATATTCTTTAGTATAAGTATGTCCCATGCAATGTATGCATGGGACATGAGACACACACAACTCCAGCTCAATCTTTTAATGTCTTGCTATTGCACACAAAAAGATAACAAGGATCACACAACATTGATATGAAACACAGAGGCTAAAACAACCAATAAAGAAGTAGAATCAGAGAAAACAAGGAGAGGAAGAAAACAAAAAACTATCATTAATATCCTTAAGGAGCCAAATTATTTCATTCATGAAACAAGAATAGGATGCTTAAAAAAAAAAATAGGAAAAACCATAGAAGACAGAGCTCTTGGAAATTAAAAACATAATGGCCAAAGTGAAAAATCAAATGATAGCATTGGGAAATACAATCAAAGTATAATAAAGCAAAACTATTGAAAACACTGCTTTATTTTATTATATGGTTTACCCGTGAACGACACAGGTTTGAACTGTGCAGGTCTGCTTATACAGATTTTTTTCAATAAATACAGTCAGCCCTTTGCATATGTGGGTTTCATATCCCCATATTCAACCAGCTGTGGATTTAAAACAGTCTTTTCAGTCCTCTGTTGGGACTCTGCAGATGCAGAGGGCTGACTATATACATTGTTCAACACCATTTTATATAAGAAACTTGAGCCTCTGCAGATTTTGGTATCTGAGGGGTCCTGGAGCCAATTCTCCAAGGAGTGATGGAAGTATTTGGAAAGTCAAAACTTATATGCAAATTTTCAACTGTGTGGGGTTGACATCCCTAAGCTAGCATTATTCAAGGTTCAACTGTAATGCTTTTTAGGAATATTAGGTTTGTTAACTATGTGCACATATTACTTTAATAAATATACATTTTTAATCCCAGCTCTACCACTACCTAGCTGTGTGTCATCAGATGAATATACCTCTCTGAGCCTTTTTTTTTTTTTCCAAGTGTAAAATAGAGATAATTCCTATGTTATCTGTCTTATGTCTTGTAAATGTCTTGTATGTTTTATAAATGGCTACACCTACAGCCTCATTTGCTTTATAGCCTATTTATTTTGCATGTTTAGTGGTTTTCATGTTTGATTTAACTATCATGATCTTCCCTCTCTTTCTGAATGGATGCATCTTGATTTGAGATTTATCAAAGCTTGTATCATTTTCATATTTTTCTTTCCTGTCTCTGACACTTGTAAGATTTTATGTTATTTTCCTCAAAGTAGAAGCATTTTCCCAAGCCAAGTTCCCAAGTAATTTCTAAGGGGGGAAAAAAGCCTCAACAGTTGAAGTCCATTTATCAAGCCCTGTTAGCCATGTGATGAATCACCAAGTGACCGCTGGAATGCAGTCAAGGAAGTGGCTGCAACCCGTTTTCTCATTACTCTGCTCTTATCTTAATGCTGCAGCCACTGCTAATGTCTGCTGACTCCCAAAGAAGCTGCTAGCTCTCTTTTTTTGTCACCATTATTGTTTTCCGGGGTTCTGAATAGCTGTTCATTCCCTAATCTGGACCTTCAGGAGGCTGATTCACTTGCCTGTCTAAAGTTGCATTAAGGTGTTGCCATATTTTTTTTAGCCAAAACAATCCCTAGGGTTAATGAGGGAGAAGCAACTACTACAAACAGCCACCTGGCTGCTTTTATTTCACAATTATATAGTGTGGGGCTGGAAGGGATGCTAGAGATGATGTAATCTAAGTCATCTTTTTCTTGCACATCATGTACTGAGTTCGAAAATGCTGAAGAGCATTGCTTGGGTCATATATAATTAGTGGCTATATTGGAACCCACACTTTGCTAAAAATTACCCAAAATCTTGCAAGTGTCAGAGACAGGAAAAAGCCTCCTCTTTTATGTTTTTTCCCCCACAATTGCTATATCTATCCTCTAATTAAAAAATCAAGAAAGACTTGTCATTTGAATTGGGGCTAAATTCCACGGCAATATTGACCTTCCCAGCTGTACATTAGTTGGTTTACTCTGAGAGGCAGCCTGAGTTCCCTGTGCCCTCTTCCAAAGCACAGACAAGGGCTTGCAGGCGGGCAGGTTGGTTTTAGAGGTGACATCAGAAATAGGAGTAGGGGGCTGGGGCAGTAAAATGGCCAGTAG